GCACGGGCAAGTCGGCGGCACGACGGCCGGCGGGCAGGAGCCGGGAGATGAGTGGGAGCCAGGCCCTGCCCCATCTGGGAGCAGGGAAAACGCCGCCTCTGCCAAAACCCGAGCTGGTTTCACCACCATGACCCGTTCCCTGTAGGGGAAAGCACCTCGTGGCAGGTGGGAGACGCAACCCCTCCGGATGAAATCCCTCTTGGCAGAGCCAGAGGGAGGCGCACGGGGTGGAAAACACCGGCTCGGCACCAGCAACTCTGCAGCGCGCTGGATCAGAAAAAGCCCTTTTTCTACCCAAAAATTTCAAGCTCTCCCGCTATCCCGCTGCCTCCCCGGGGGTTGGAGCCGCTGAGTCAGCACCGGCACTGCTGAGTCACCGCAGCCACCTCAGCCCCAACGCCAACCGGCTCCGCGATGAGCTCAGCGCGGGGGCTTCGGCATCGCCACGCTCACCGCCGCTGCTGGGAGGCTTTTGCCAGCACCTCTGCCAACGTTTTGGGATCTCAGCAGCCTCTCCCTGCTAAAATCTCGCCCGTGCCCAAAACCACAGCGATTGGCATCGCCTTGAATCCATGGAAACCCGACTGACAAAGGGTGAGGGAGCCAGGGAAGCCGGTGGCGTTTACACTCTCCCACCCTCCCACCGGTGCCGGGGTCCTCTCCGAAAACACCTCATCCAGGACCACCCACCACCCATCTCCTCCCAGAAGAGGAACGGGGAACGATGAAAGACGAGAAAAACAGAGTGTGACTGTGCCTTTTTCTTTCCCCACCTCGCTCGGGTCATCGGCACCGCGGGGAAAGCGCCGCCGCCTCCGGCTTCCCCAGCCCGGTGACGGGGCTGGTGACTCACGGCAAGGAAGGGGGGGAAGCGGCGCGTGCACGGGGCCCTCGTGTTTGTAAACCTAAAAAAAGCCATGTGCGGGCAGGCAGCGTGGTCTGCAGGGCTGGGAGCCTCTTCCTGGAGGGCAGGGAACGTGCTCCGGAGGGCAGGGAATGTGGTCTGGCAGATCAGGAGAGTGCTCTGAAGGGCAGGCAGCGGGATGCTGATGCGCTCCAGGGAGAAGGCAGTGTGCTCCCAGTATGCTCCCAGTGTGCTCCAGAGGGCAGGCAGCGTTTTCCAGAGGGCAGGCAGTGTGTTCCCATTGTGCTCCAGAGGGCAGGCAGCATGACCCAGACAGCAGCAGTGTGCTCCCAGTCTGGTCCACAGGGCAGGCAGTGTGATCCCAGTGTGCTCCCAGGTGCGCTCCAGAGGGCAGGCAGTGTTTTCCAGAGGGCAGGCAGCATGCTTCCAGTATGCTCCAGAGGACAGGCACTGTCCTCCCAGTCTGGTCCAGAGGGCAGGCAGTGTACTCCCAGTTTGCTTCAGAGGGCAGGCAGTGCAATCCCAGTGTGCTTTCAGTGCAATCCAGACACCAGGCAGTGCGATCCCAGTGTGCTCCATAGGATGAGCAGTGAGATCCCAGTATGATCCCAGTGTGATCCCAGTGTGCCCTGGAGGGCAGGCAGTGCGATCCCAGTGCAATCCCAGTGCGATCCCAGTGTGGTCCAGAGGACAAGCAGCGCAATCCCAGGGTGCTCCAGCACCAACCACCCCAACCAGGCAAGGCTCACAGAGGCGCCCGGAGGAGCCGGCACCGCTACGAGAGCTGGTGCTGCACTGGCGCTAATTAAGTGCCAGGGCTTTAATTGCAGTGGCGTTAATTGGCACGGATTTAAGCGGGAGGGCTTTAACTGCAGCAGCTCCAACACAACGGCCTGAAGTGCAGAGGCTTTGACTGCAACACCAGCGGGCTCTGAGGGGCTCAGAGGGTCTTCAGAGCCCCTTGCCCTGCCGCTCCTCGTCCCCGTTCTGCACCCCAGCACCTCCCGCTGCAGCTCCCAGGATGCTGCTCCAGCCTTCCCGTGTTTTTCCGGGCTGAGAATCGGGGCTGTGATGAGCAGGGCAGTGCCACCAGCCCTGTGGTGACAAACCCCCCCCATCCATCACACCCATCCCGGCCCCCACGGTGACACCTGCAGTGATCAGAACTCACTCCGACCCATTTGGGGGTTTTTTTATGGCATTTTCAGGGTTTGGAGTGGCTCGGAGGGGTTTTTTTTCCCCTCATTTGGCTGCGCTGGGAACTGCAGGCTCTGGAGCTCGTGGTCCCCAGCTCCCCCCTTCGACAGCAAAATCTCATTTAATCAAAAGATGCGGTGACTGGATGTGCAGAAGCACTTGGCTCTCTCCCTTTTTTTTTTTTTTTATCCCTTCAGAACTGCCATTTTAGCTGTAGCAAACAAACACACGGCATTGTCCCCACGACACGCACGGCTCCCTCCGGCAACCCTTCCTGCAAACCCCCGGGAAGAGGGGATTTTGGCCCTGGGACACAGGAGCAAATCGGCACTGGCAGTGGCGTGGTGGGCAGATGTGGAGCGGGGACAGGGCTGAGAACAGCTGTTTCACCTCCAGCCTCTTCCCGTTTCATTTCATCTCCCCTTGGATGCCGGCCCAGGGAGCGGGGGGAGGAATAAAAACAGCTCTTTCATCCTCAAAAACGGTTTGGCACCCTCTCGCACGGAGCTCCAGGAACGGGATTAACACACTGGCACAGCAAGGTTCAGGGGGGGTCTCGCAGTGGGGCTGGGTTTGGGGGGCATCCCGGCCTCATCCCAATCCAGGGGGGACAGCCAGGGGATGACAGCACTGTCATCCCATTGGGAAGGTTCTCTGCCCCCTCAGAGTGAGGGACACGGAGGGAGCAGGGAATGGGGACCCTACTGCCATCGGAATGGGGGCAGGGAAAGCTGACACGTGGAGGCTGGGGACCGAGGACCCAACGGCCAGGGACAAGGAAAAGGGACCCTGCACATGCAAGGAGGAGACTGGAAACCCCAACGGCATGGGAAAGGGGACTGGGAATCCTGCACATGCATGGAGGGGCCTGGGGACCCCAATGGCATGGGAACGGGGACCCCAGTGGAATGGGGACCCCAATGTCCCCAATGGAATGGGGACAAGGGACCCTGCACATGCATGGAGGGAAACAAGCAGGGGACCAAGGACCCTGGTGCAGTGGGGAGGGGGACCTGGAAACTCCAGCACATGGGAATGCCAATGCCATGGGAACAGGGACACCCACAGGGCACACACAGGGCACACACAGGGACTGAGGGCTCCGATGCCACAGGGATGGCACCACACACAGGGAGGGACCCTAATGACAAGGGAGTGGGGACTGGGAACCCTGGCACGTGCAGGAAGGAGTCCAAATATCCCAATGGCATGGGGACAGGGCCCAGGGACCCCAACATATGCACAATGCCAGAGGGATGGGGACCGGGCACCCTGGCACACGTGGGCTGGGGACCCTGATGGGTCATGGGGACAGGGACTGCAGGCCCCAGCACATGCAGGGAGGGGACTGGGGACCCTGGTGCCATGGGGACAAGGATTAGGGACTTCAGCACATGCAGAAAAGGGATTGAGGACCCTGATGTCATGGGAACAGATGGGGACTTCAGCACATGCAGACAGGAGACTGGGACCCCCGATGGCATGGGGATAAGGATTAGGGACCTCAGCACATGCAGACAGGGGACCAGGGACAGCTCACTCTCAGCATGCCAGCAGTGCCAGGGACACTCCAGGAAAGGCTTTTTGGGACACAGACCCGTAGCACAACCACAAATCCCAGAGCCACCATGCCACCACTTCACCATCCCCATTCCCAGTGGGGCCAGTGAAACCGCACCGGGAAAGGCCAAAATCTTGGGGTGGGGGGCACACATTTTGCCTTCTCCCAGACCCCGTCGCCTCCTCCTCAGAGCCACCTCCCCCCTCGATTACCTGCCGCGAAGAGTCCATGCCGGCGATCCCGAGAAACCAACCTCGAAAAACAAACCTAACGAGGTGCCAAAGGCCGCGAGCGGGGCTCGTTTATGGGGCCCCCATAACAACCTGACCCCAGAGGACTCTGCTCCCGGCCCTTCCCAGCATGATGCAACCTCGGCGACGCTCAGCGCACCCCGGCACCCACCAGCCACCAGCCACCCCGGCAGCTGCCGCGGGGCTCTAGAATTCCTCTCTTTTCCCCAAAGCGGGGCTCTAGGATTCCTCTCTTTTCCCCAAAGCGCCAGAGGCAGCTCCGGCGTTGGCGGGTGCCAGAGATGTTTCAGCATCCCCGGATCCCTGCGGAACACGTGGTGCCGGAGCCCGCTCCTCACCGCCGACTCCAAACTTCGGCCACGCGTTTTGGCGACGACGCGTGACCTCGGCGATGTCCCCTCGGCGGTGGTGGCGGTGGTGGTGGTGGCGGTGTCCCTGAGTGCCACCAAACCACCGCTGGCGGCACCGGGACGAGCCGAGGTGCAGGCTCGGCGGGTGAATGAGACCCTGCCGAGGAGGACAAGCCGGTTTTTCTGCCCACCTCCATCCCCGGCGTGACGGAAAGCGGGGGGGGTGCCCGCGCCGGACCCCGAGTCCTCGTCACGGCGAGGGATGTGACAGCTGCCACCGGCACGGTGACGTCAGCGTGACGTCACGCCGCGGGGAGCCTCATCGCCCTTGTTTTCGCATCATCACCTCTGAGCTCAGCACATTTCGGCTTTTGGGCGGCATCGGTCAATAAATAACAATAATTAATAAAGGCCACAAAGCATGTGGGGTAATGCAAATGGGAGTGGGGGGGGGGCCACCTTAGGGCTTGTCCCCCTCCCGTCTCCATCTGGCCCCCACACCCCCCCACCCCCACCCCCGCGAAGCGATGCTGCAGGGGAAGGAAAAGGGATAAAAGAAGGAAAACAGCCCCAAAGCGGGGGTAGGGCCGTGAGTGTCCCCCGGCCCCGCCGCTTTGTCCTCGCGGCCCCGCGGGGCCGCTAGCACCGGGGGAGCGGGGTGGGCTTTAACCTCACCCGCACCGCCCCGCACGCCCCGAGGGGGGGTATTTTTCTTTGAAGGGGTGTTTGGGGGGTGCAGACAGGGGCGTTTTTTGGAGGGGAAGGAGTGCTCTTACCTCGCCGCGGCCCCCCGCGCTGCCCCCGCAGCCCCCGCCGGCCCCGCTCGGCGCCGGCCCTCAGGAGGAAGCCATCTTGTCTCCCTCTCCGCCGCGCTCCCTCACCGCCGCCCCGCCGCAGCCGGGGGGGGGAATGGGCGCCGCATCCCCGCTCCCCCCCTCTTCTCCTCCTCCTCCTCCTTCTCCTCCTCCTCCTCCTCTTCGCTCCTTCCTCCTCCTCTTTCTTCCTCCTCCTCCTCCTCCTCCTCCTCCTCTTTCCCCCCCACGCGCAGCCCCCCCCCTCCCCACGCAGTGGCACCGCCCGCCCGCTCCCTCCGCTGCGCAGGAGCGGGGCCGTGGGGGGGACCACGGAGGGGACACGGGGGGGGGGGGGAGTGAGGGGGACACGGACACGGCGGGGCCGCACGACCCCCCGACCCCCCCAAAAAATGGGGTAACGGGACCCCCAAACCCAGATCGTTGCCCCCCCGGGGAAACTGAGAAATAACGGGGGGGACACGGGGGGAACACAGAGGAGGACACGGCGTGACACGGGAGGGACACGGACAAAGACATGGACACACGACCACCACCCCCAAAAACTGGGATAACAACACCTTCAAACCCCCGTCATGTGTGTGATTGTCCCCCGGGAAACTGAGGCATCATGAGGGGGACACAAGGAGAGGACACGGGGAGGGACACAGTGGGGAAAAGAAGGGGGTCACGGGGGGACATGAGAGGGGAGACGGAGGGGGGGACACAGGAGGGACACAAATTTTCCTGCCATTAAACCTCTGGCACCCTTGTTAATTTAGGGACATTGATTTGGTAGGGGGTTCATTTGGGGTCACTGGTAATTTGGGGACATCAATAATTTAAGGGCATCGTTAATTTCAGGCCCTCTTCAGTTTGGGGACATCACTAATTTGGGTCCCTCGTCGATTTGGGGACATCAGAGCTTTGTAACATTTAAATTCCCCCTCCAAAGGATCTTCATCCATCTGCCCCCTCCTCCCTAAAATCCAGACCCCAGTGAAGGAAAGGGGGAGTGGGGGTGTTTTCCCACGGGAGAAGTGATGGGAATGCGCCGGCAAAAGGGTTAAGGCGGGACTGGATCCTTGAAACAGTCCCAGTGGGATCAGCTCCGGCTTTTCCAACCCTTGTCTGGAGCTGGCAGGTCTCGCTACGATGCACAGGAATATTTAGTAGGGTGGGAGAAGGAAAAAGGGGAGTGGGAAAGTGAATTCCCCCAAAAACTACCCATCCAGGTGATGCTCCAGGAATGCTTGGAGCTTTCCAAGCCTACTCCTGACCAAATTACTGGCAAAACTGCTACAAATGGAAAATTCCCAAGGGTTTCCCAGGAGCATCCCGGTGCAAACTGTTTTTCCAAAGGGATTTGCGGCAGAAGGAGCAATCCCAGAGCCCGTGTAAAGCACAGTGGGACGGATAAACCAGATCCCAGATCCAGGTGGAAAACACAAGCACAGACCCAACATCCCCATCCCTGAGACGTTCCCTGGAGCTCATCTCTTCCCGAAAAGGCCACACGTGAGCTGAGAGCTCTCTTGCAAAGCCAGAGCCCTCCGGGATCCGACCTTTGCTCCGAGCAACATGGCTCCCACGGGAATAAATAGGATAAACCGGTGCTGGGAACTGGTTTTTCCCCAAATTTCCAGCCTGGCACAACGGCTGCAAAGCCCCTTTTCCCGGCCCAGCTCGGCTCTGCCGTGCAATAAGTCCCTGCCAAACCCCCGGCAGGGATTTCATTCCTCCCACCCTCCTCCTCCTCCTTCTTCTCCTCCTCCAGCCGGACCATCCATGGGACTTGCTCCCGAGGAATTTCAGCTGTTCCCATCACAGCCCAGAGCTGAAATATTCCCAACAAAGACATGGACACTCCAGATTATCCAGTAATATCCTGGGTGATGTCCTGCAGGTGACACCAGGATGTGCTGGACAGAAACAAGCCAAACCCCAGCTGATCCTTCATCCCACCCATCACCCCGGTGCTTTTTTTGGAGATGCCAGACACGTTTTGAGGCGATTTCAGGCTGGTGGGGGGAAAAAAGAAAATCCCACCTCAAGCCTCCAGGGAAACCCCTCGAGATGGACAAATTTAGTAACTTTTATTAGTAATGCTTTAAATGAGATTATCCCTAATCTCCAGCGTTCGGCTCCGAGACAGCCTGCCAAACGCAGGCTGAGGAGTTCATTTCCCAGCGCCAGGAATGCACCAGGGATGAGCTGCATCCCATCCCACCCCCCTCCAAAAATGGAGTTTGGGGGGTCTGGTGTGACCATCCCTGCCAGGAATAGGGTTTTCCTTGGTGTTTATTTCGGGTTTGTCCCCCCCAAAAGCTCAGGGAGATGGGTCAGAGCATCCTCCCCTCCGGCAGTCTCGGTCTTTGCAAGGAGGTTTGGGCGAACACCGAGGCTTTGCCGGGTATTCCATGGACTTAACAAGAGGGTTCCCAAGATGTTAATTTGTTATGCAAATGGAAAAGGCATTCAGAGCCGCCTGGGAGGGCAAGAGAGGGTCCAGCAGTGCCACAGGACAGGGAGCAAAGCAAAACCTTGACCTCTGATATCTTCCCTCCTCCTCCTCCTCCTCCTCCTCTCCCAAACCCTCTGGAAGGAGACACGTGGAAAAGGGACCCCAAGGGAGGTAGCAATGGAGGTGCAAGGGGAGATGCCAGTTTTCCCGGGCCCAGCTGAGCCAGAGGAACTGGTGGAACTGGTACTGGGAAGGGGCTGGCAGCCCGGCCGGCTCCGTCTGCCAAACCACCCCAGGAAAGGCGCCGGGACGTGGGAATGGTGGCACACCCCTCACTCAGCCAGCCTGGAGCGGGCAGGGACCCGCTGGCACTTTGATTCCCAGGGGGATCCCACCACTGCCGGCCCCGGCTCCGGCAACATCCTTATAAATCACCTCGTTTAGGACATTCTCCACGGAAAAGTGTCCTGGACAAATCCTCGCCTTCACCGGCGCTCTGCCAAGGGCAAAGTCCTTCCCCGGCCCTGCCATGTGCCAAGTGCCAGCCGAGCCACCTGTTTCCAAGTCCCCCACCAGCCCATCCCACCATCCCAAGGGAAAAACCCGTCGGACTCAACTCAGAGGCGCAAGGCTCAACCCCCGCAACCCCCCCCGAAGAGCCGAGCGGCGGCAGCAAATTTTGGGGTGGCAAAGCGCCAAAAAAATCAACCCCCCCCCCCCCCAAGCAGATGTTCCTCCCTCCCACCTCTCCAGCTGGAGACCCCACAGCTGGAGCAGCCCCCGCCCCCCCTTTCTTCTCCGTGTCTCCTGCGTGGGCAGAACGGGCACGGAACGGAGAGATCCCGGTTCCAACCACCCCGGCCGGTAAAACCAGAAGTGCCGATGGAATTTTTGGTGGAGAAAATGCCAAGACTTGTTAGCTCGGTGAT